TTTTAAATCAGTGTTTTCACGAGGTCATTAAAGATTATTTCAATTTTTATTTATTTTGTTCACTAGTTAAAAAGCGCTTGGCTTTATGTACACGCGACAGCACGTCAGGTTATCACAATATGTTAAACTTAAAATTAAATGGAGAACTTTGACATATTTGTATACCCTAACGTGCTATTGATTGTGTCTTCAAAATTTTAATAATCAAAGTTATCCACATAATTTTAAATCATACAATTTTGAGAAGAGTTAAAATCAAAAATGTGATAACATGACAATGTACTATTTTCAGAGCCGTAAGTCTTAAGAATATTTTGTATAAAAGAATAATTTTAATGGTCACCTCGTGGTCACCCTATAAGGTCAATAAAATGTGTCATCAAAATTATTGATGAACTGTTAACCTAACATTACTAAAAATATAACCTTTTAGTGTACATATTTTAGTTAACAAATAATCAAATCTAGGAAGATTGTGACCTTGATAAGTACTTAATGTAACATATATGTAGATGAGTTTATGTTTGTTTAGATTTAATAACGCCAAAACGACGAAAAACAACAAAGAAAATAATTACATAAATATTTATTAATAATTCACAAATCTTGACTTAAGAAATTACTATAATCTTTTTCCAATGCGCTGAGAGCGCCTTCCGTTTTCATTAAAACGTTCTGTCTTCTTAGATTGTCTATCAGCGAACACTGTTTGTCTATGGTCGAGTTTAACGCTTTTATACGCGCCTCTAGAGTAGCTATGGTGTTTTGGTTTGAGGCCGAAAGAGCACGAGTTGAGTCCCGAAATTCCTGGGCAAACCAATGACATTAAATTTAATACCGTAAAATTTAAGTCACACATAATTATTGATATAAGGTTAACAACAGTGCTAGGGTGCCTTCTTATGCTAGGGTGGGCAAAGGCGGTCTTACCGCTAAAAGCGGTCTCTTCTGTTTCTTCGTTAGAATTTAATGCCATTATGACCTGTCATTATTAGAAGAAGTAAGTAATAGTTAAAAGACTGCATATTTCGTTCATTGCCAATTGACCAGTGTGGATTGATTAAATCACATTGGGTCTGTGTGGTAAGTTATCGTTCGTTAATTCTTTCTGTGAGGAAAGTCCGTGCTCCACCAGTAAACTAATAAAGAGATCGATGATAATGAAGATAATGAGCTCGGTGGCGTAGTTGATAAGCGCCGCGGCCCGCGATAGTAGTCGTTAAGCATCATAAGTCGTTAATACCCTCCAATCCGCATTGGGCCAGCGTGGAGGGTCATGGCCCATCCTCCTTAACCATCCAAAGGAAGGCCTGAGCCCCTGCAGTGGGGACGTAAAAAGGCTGGTGACGATAATCAAGATATAAATCTCACCACGTGTTCAGCCTTGACGGTCTTTAGTTGATGTGTTAAGGTCGCTATTTGCGCGTCGCATGCGGCGTACCTGGTCGCCGCGGCCGCGCTCTCCACCCGCAACCGTTTCACTTCGCACGTCAGTCTGTCGCACTCACTCCTCTGTTCCTTGTACAGGTGGTCCTTTTCCTACAAAGTATTAGATAGATAGAGATATTTAGATTTAAACTTAAATAACTAGATGACCCGGTGTGCTTTGTATTACATCTCACCGTTTAATCCATTCTAGGGGTTAGTATCAACAGATATTATGATCGTTAAGTAGCAATCGTAGTGTTTAATGACCGAGTCTGGCAGTTCAATAGCTAGGAAACTAATGAATATCGCTAATTTGACTGTTAAACTCAGTTCAATCAACCACCAGCCCTTTTACATCCCCACTGCAGGGGCTCAGGCCTTCCTTATGGATGGTTAAGGAGGATGGGCCATGACCCTCCACGCTGGCCGAATGCAGATTGGAGGGTATTAACGACTGCAAATGTAGCCGGGACCAACGGCTTAACGTGCCTTCCGAAGCACAGAGTAGCTCTAGATAATAATTTTTTGGTCATCCATCCCGTGACCGACCCTTGCGAAAGTTGCTTAACGACTACGAACGCGGGCCGCGGCGCTTATCCACTACACCACCGAGCTACTTAATATTGAGTTAAACTCAGTTCGCGCCTAACAAATAACAATATACTTAGCTGTAAATTCTTAGATTACGATCGCTATGAGTTAGCGATTATTCTGTAAGATTGTGATCGCAAACTCTGTCGAGACGGCAGCCCATGGACTACGACAAACAATTCAAAACTGAAGTCAGTTAAATTGGCCCAGCTGTTCTCGAGTTTTAATCAGTTTAGTTAAATTAGAAAAAGCTCTATTTCATTATGTTGGCTTGTTGAGGATTATCTCCAATAACACAAGACCGTACTGGCCTGGTTTATCGGACTGCCTTGGCTACTGGCCTCGTGTATATGGTCCACTATGCCTGTTTTTCAGTGTCTGTATGGGTCCTTTTGTGTCTGGATGTGTGAAATTGGTACTTTGTACAGGACTGTGGATATTTGTATCTATTCTATGAAGTTTTTCAGTTTTGGCGCTAGTTCACAAATTAAACTTAGTACTCACAGCGAGCTTCTGTTCCAAAGCGGCAGCTTTAGCCTTTGCATCAGCAGTAGCGGCGCGATGATTTTTATTCCTGTTTAGCAATGACATCCGTTCACCCTCCAACTCAGCTTGTTGTGTCAAATGGGATTTGCATTGGGCTGCCTTTAAAATACAATAGTATAATCATTTATTGTTAGTTATAAACTAGTTTAAACCTTATTATACACAACATATTGCTTGCCTGCATAGAAGCGCACACAGAGACCCTTTAATTAATTATTTATAAATTTCAGCGTCTAGGTGACAGGCAATATTAATTTATTTTGATTTCTACTATTAAAATTGTAAACATTGCTTTTTATAAAAAAAACTAATTATATTTTTAGTTAAATAATTATGAATTGGGAAGCATTAATAATTATATGTATATTTCTTTAAATTTCTTTCAAGGAGTTGCTAACATTGAGATTATAAATTGAGCCATGGTTTTCATGTGTAAATCAAACTATTATTTTAAAAAATTGACACTAAATACCTTTTTGTCAATTGTTGTTTGCAGTATATCAATTTGCTCCTGAAGTAACTTCACTTTTGAAGATAAAAATTTGCAAATGCTTTCAATCGAAATGGTTTCTGAAATTCAATTACAATTGTTTATTATTATAGTAATTAATTAATTAAATATTTTAGTGAAATAGCAATTGGGCAGTTAATATAAAGGCCTACTTTTTAAAAGTATGGGTGTGAAGAAAATTACCAATTTTTGTCTGGTACAATATATGTTGACTGTTGAATATTATATTTCTAGTTGGATTTATTACTTGGATTTATTACTATTTCAATCATAAATTTTAAATTTAAATAATATATTACATTTCAATGATCACCTTTCAAGAAGGACTTTGGCAATACATTGTCTTGCACATTGACTGAAACGAATGCTTGTAAGAATTCATCGTATTCTATATTGCGTCTGTTCACATTATCAGATGTTTCACAACAATCGCAGATTACTTTTTTCATGCAATATATATTATTTGATTCAGTTTTATTTGTTTCAATATTTTTTTCATTTGTGCTTTCTTCATCTGTGTTCTTAGGTGATTTCTGAATTTTTCTTTTTGATTTTTCAACAGGTTTGGATTGAATATTGAAGTCTTCTAGTTTTGGAAGACTGCATAGATGATTTTTAACAGAACGAGTGGGTGTCAGGATCAACTTGTGAGAAAAGTCACTGAAAATGTCCTGCTTTTGCTGCAATTCAAAGACAATTATTGTGCTTGTTAAAATTCAAATAGTCGGTTTTATATGAAGTAAAATGAACTTTGAGCATGAATGCAAGGGAGTTTCGTTCAATCTTTTAGTATTATTACATTTGAGATAGATTTGATAGGGTAAGAATGAAAGTATACATACCATTACATCTTCGATTTCTTTCATTAAACTCTCTGTTTTTCTTTCTAGTTGTTTATTTAGCCTTTTAAATTCATTTTCTCTAGCTAAAAGATCGAGGGAATCCATCTAATTTAATATATAATATATACACTTACAAAGTGACAACCTACAAACTAAGGAATTACTTAGGATTTTAGTTCTTTTATTTATAATATTATCTTATAAGGTGGAAGTGAGAATTTTCGCGTTTAGAAAAATATTTGATCACTAAACAAGCACTAAACTTCTATTCTATTTTTTTATTAATGGCAAATAGAGCCGGTGTCGACTATTCTGCCAATGTCAGAAGTAGATCTTATTTAATATTATCAAAATAATATTTTTTGTTGTCAAATTCAATAATACACTAAAATCGTTGTCATGGTAACAGAAGCCAATCAATTTACTATTGTAAGTCAACAAACATTCTTTTTAAGTAATATTTGTTGAAAAGTTTTCTTTAATAATATGATAAACCAATTTAATCAATATTGTAATAAATCTATAACATTTAAAATTATGAAATGATTAAAGTAATTGTATTTGGCTTGTTGTTGATAAGTAAGAGCTGCCATCTAGTTATTTAAAATAAAAACTGAATTGTACACAACCAGTATTAGAATGATGTATATTAGTGGTCTTAATACAAGCGCCATAAAGACTACTTTAGTAAATTGATACGTATCATAACTTATCGAGCATTGTGTCAAAAACAGCTGTGCGTTAACCAATGAACGAAGCGTATTCGATTGTCAATATATCGCCTTTTCTCTCGCACACGCACACATGCAACTTGTTGACACATTGCTTTGTTTCCCATATGATTTCATATGAAGAAATATGGGCATATTCGTTTGAGATTTTAATAAAAAGATGTGTATAATGCATTAATACGACATTATGCATACATTGGTGAAAAACAATTCTGGATTTGCACGGAAAACTCTATCAAGGTCGATGGACTTAGAGCAAGAGGTCAGGAGCGTGAAAAAGATAGAAGACAATTTGAGTATCTATTCAATCGATTTGCCAATGAGCGACCAGCTAACCCAGCTGACATTTTCAGTGTAAGATTGGAGCGTCTCTTTTGAGGACGTTCGCTCGGTTTTCGCGTGGCGATAATTGTTTTAAAGAATCACATTTGGACAGCGTTTGCTTGTCCGGACTCAGTACACAGTGTAATAATGTATTTAAAGAGAAAAAGACACGATTTCAGAAGTGTTATTTTATAGCGCAGGTGGTTTACAGGAGTAAGACGACTCGGTGAGCTGATATAAGGTAAAATAGCTTTTTTTTTGGATGCTACCATATGTTTAGATTTCACCACGGGCTTGTGAGCGTTCACCGTGGCTTCTAGTTTTGTTTGAAAAAACCTTGCTTATTTAGAAAGTGAGTGATATAATACGACCGATTTGTAGTGGTGCAATGAATTTCAGTTCACATGTACTCGATAATGCACTTTCGAATATGCTACGTTATCATCTGCACTACTTTGTAAAGCAAAATAATATAAAAAAGCTATGATTGTCAAACAGAAATGAAAAATTAACTGTTATTTTATAAAGGCTTTGTTCGAATGTAATAAGGTTGCGTTTTGTTTTTCTTTGTTATCCAGTTTTATAACGGGTTGTTAGTATGTAAGTACTATTTAGTATGATCTGGGGCCCTTCGGATTTGTTGCATATTGATGTGTAACAACCGCTATTTTCCGCTAGTGAAAATCGATCGATGTTGCAAAGTTGTGTAAACCTTGATTTCCTATAGGTATTATAATTGGTCGTATGTAGTATAAGTTATGTGTCAACTGCTCATAATAATTGTTATTTAAAATAGCAAAGACATTAAATTTAAAGGAAACATTTCCTTATGTTTAAATAGGCAGGTAGTCTTTTTTCTTCTTTTATAAACGGCAACAATTTCAAACAAAGAATCTACAAATGCAGGTACAACTTTTTTTCTAAAGTAGATTTGGGATCCGATTGTTTTTGTTCCTTTTGTCCGTACGTAGGTCGTCGTGGGAGTTAGACTCTGTAAAAAACTGGTTGGAAGTTATGTAGTTAAATAAAAATTACTTCAGGTGTTTTTTCATATACAAGTTATTGGTTTGTTAAATATTGTCTGTAGGTCATTACAATAACGTTATACCTACCTGCCTATTTTCTATCCTACAATTTTAGTTGCTCATTAAAATTATTTAGGTAGAAGTGTTTAGCTCAATTTGCCCTTTTTTCCTTTTTATTTCGTTTCTATATTTGTATCATTTAAGGCAATAAGCCTTAAATTATCAGTAGATTATTTAATTAGGTGTATATTTATTTTTAATATATTTAATAATGTGGGTATTTGAAACAAACTATACTAACAAGACACAACAGGCAGTTGCACAAACGTCCATTAAGAGATACCAAGTAGTAAATTACCTGCCTAGGTTTTATAAAATTATATCAAACATTTTTCAATTCTTAATCTAAACTGAAGCCCTTAAGATAACAGTATGACTATACTTAGAATGTCTTTCAGTCAAGCACACTTTAGATTAAGGATCTGCGCACATGAAGGAGGAGATTCTAGGTATGTTCATCTAGATTTTTTTCACAGATTGATTTATTCAGACTCTTATACCTACAGTGTGCGTTTGTCATTCTTTTGTATTAAGAGACCAAATACCTACCTAACGTAACGTCATTGAATATTAGTTAATCTGTTCATGCAATGCAAGATTAATTGTAGCATGCTTAGGAACTGGGAAAGCGTCATACCTATGTAGTAATGACACTACCGCTTAGACTTGATGACCTGCTTTAAGTTTGTATCACTTTTGTGATTGGTATAAATTATGTTATTGTAGTCATCGACATATAAAATATTTAATAGAAACAGAAGTAAAAGTAGTAAGTAGCCTAGGTACCGCTTTAATAAAAGAAAAAAAATACCTACCTAAGTTTAGTTTTCTAAAACCTGTTTTCAGTAATCTAGAACAAGGTATAGCTTAACTAGGAAACACATAGTCCCACGAATCGCCTAAGCAGATTAGTTTAATTACAAATAAATATTTTTTCTTTAATCTTATGATAATATCTTTTATGTAGGTGCCACATGAATGCAATAAAAATTGAATGGAATTGAATATTGTGACCTGTCATATAGCGCAAATACCTAGTCATGTAAAGACTAAATTAATCAATTTCAGTACCTAGATTTTTTATTAAAATTGGTACAAGGTATACTGCAAAATTTATAATTTACTTTATTAAAATTGGTAGATAGGCATCGAGCATTACAACTTCGATTAATAAAGGTCTTTTCACAAAGCAAGCGAGTTGAGGCATGCGTTTGGTGGAACATTTTTTGATTGTAATCCTATCAGTTATTGTAGATCTCAATGGCTAGACTACACAACTAACTACCGTTCCGTAGTTGTCGTAGTCGTCCGTCAAGTCCGGCGCCTTTGTCCCGCTTGCTGTGTCGTAAAACCTTTACTACAATATTTTTTCCTGCAACCTATCTATAATGTTGTTTCGTAAAAATTGCAGTTCTTACGTCTATGTAGGTAGTAGAAGTTGCTAGAATAATATAGGTATTTATATGATTTTTACCGAACTTCTTTACAATTGATAAAGACATAAAATAGTTTTATAATAAAAGTAATGGAAAGTAAGCGTGATCTTTATTATTTTAAGGGCCAATCCTTAAAGTGGACTGATCAAGATCTGCCTGGGCAAATCACGATATGTCGCTATTCACGATATGTCGCGCTAATGTTTTTTTTTACCCGACTGCGCGACGCAAAGAAGGGTAATGTGTTTATCAGTCTATGTATGTATGTTTGTTTCTATGTGGCGTTCTAGAGACCAAATGCTTAGGCCGATTTTGATGATTCTTACGTCAATCGATTCGTCTTAAACTTGCGAGAGTCACTAAAGACATGACAGTATTTATCATTTTAAATAATAGTTTCGTATATATAATGATTTAAAGTTGTTTAACAAAACAATTATTCTCGCTAATTTTCTTACTTATTGATTTAAAGTATAATCGATATACAAACAAAAAAAAAGTGAAAAAGCATGAAGAATAAATATTTAAAATGATACCCATGGTCTTGTTCACGGAGCAATGGGTGTTATAAGGGCAATTGAGTGGCCAGCTCTTCGGAGGGACCAATTGGAACCCGGATAATTGCCACAGGCTGTTTATATAGAATTTGACGACAAAGCAATTAAAAACAATGTTCATGGAGTAGGAGTCAGAATCGAACCATCGACGACAGAATTCGATGCACTTCGCGAACAGGGTAAAATAGAGCGAAAAATGTTGCCACTGATATTGTGCTGGGGTGTAACTGTACACAAACTCCAAGGAACTACTTTGGACCGAGCTGTGTCTGTTTGCATTTTTGCTGACCTTTAGCATATATAGCATTTTTATCTTTTGTATCATCAAAATTGGACGTATGGCTGAACACTGGTGAATATTCCAATATATCAAATTACTTTTCTTCGTCTTTTACTTTTGAACATTGTGATTTCCCGCTGGTCTATATTTCCGGCATTTTTCTAAGACATCAAATCTATTTGTGGGTATAGCAAATAGGCTTCTGGAGAACCTGAAATACGAAAGTCTGGAAGTTTGGAACCTTCATACCTAACCTAACTTAGGCTTCTGGGTGAACTCGTTCCATTGTAGATCTTAAATCAATGGTTGAGATCAATAATGGGTTCACTATTGATAATGAATAATTGTGATTAGGCTGATTATTTCACGATGTGCTAGTATACAGTCAACAATAGGTCAGACTATCCAAAATTGACAAATTTCACCTTAATATATTAAGCGTGGAGTGCAAAATCACTTGTAGAAATTTGACATATTGTGGTAGCCTGCCGTGACTCACACGGCTGAATGAAAGGATCGTGTACTTATTTACTCTGCTGACTAACTAGTCAAGTAACTACTTGACCATATTAAAGTATGTCTGGGCGTATCCTAGGCACCAGGGATATGCACGCACTAGGGGATAGGCCCGAGGTGTATGCCCGAGGGTACCGCAGCGCGTCGACTGAGCATTGCACGGCCGTCTGGGGGGCTTTCTGGGGGTAGCTTCTGCATTTTGGCAATTAGGGGACTAAACAAATCCACAATTTACAGCACCATATCACCTCGCCGCCCGTGTTGGGAAAGCGGTGTGTACAGTAATGCATTCCCATTGTTAAAAAATACGAACATTACGCACAAGACAAGCGAGCAAGAGAAGAGAGCGTATCGCGATAGCGTTCAACGAGTGTCAGAACCGAGTTCTATCTATTTGAACTTTGTTGAACTATGATTAATATCGAAATGCGAAAAGTAAGTATATTTCGCATATTAACCTATCAGGGTAATGAATGACTCAATTTTGGTTAGTGGGCGTTAATTACAATAAGGCACGACGAAACAATTACAAGTCACTTGACTGATACTCATAAGATCCTTGTGGTGATGTTAATAAAGTTGATTTTAGTATTCAATATAAACCAATAAAATTATTAACTTTGCTTAATTTGTCTATTAAACTTTCTTCATTAGTATTTTAGTGATGCTGGTCATAGAAAATATATTTCCCAATTGTCATTATCGCGATATTTTTAGGGATCTCGTTCCGTCTAGATTGCATTTTTATTGTAATTAGACAAACAGATATGGTTTTAATTATCATAGGCAATAGTTAATAGCATTTAGTTCAATGATTAAAGGAAACGATCTATGCGTCACAAAGGAAAACATTAACTGTTTGTAATTCAATGATCTTTTTATAAACGGTAATTGTATTGTTCTAGATTAAGAACGAATGAGTGTTTAGTATACTAATATTAACAATATAAATGAGTGTTTTGTTTCCATAGAGTTTAAATAATACTGTTTTTTTTTCTTTCTTAATAAAGAGAGAAAAAACAAAAAACGCGACTGCGTAAAAACAAAAACAAAGATAATATTTTCATTTATTTTTAAAATTTGTTTTTACGCAGTCGGGTTTTTTGTTTTTCTTTAAATTATTTATTTTTATTTTATACTTTTTAGTTACGATTCGTTGAGTTCGTTATATGATGGTAAATTTCGCAATCAAGTTATTTTATCGAGGGAGTTAATATCTTGGGGATTATTAAGTAACTTGTGGTGGTATAAACTACTGATGATTAGTCCCTCAAGAGACCTAAGTCGGCTTGTATATTTTATATTTTAAATAAAAATTTAAATCAAAATCGGCTTACGCATTTGGTCTCTAGAACGCCACATAGAAC